CTTATATTGTTCATATTGCAATCAACGATTGCCTTTTGTATATGTGATGATTTTTCCTGTACTTGGATTGCAGATTTGTTATTTTCTGCTCATATATGTTCTTCATGCTGTAATCTTTAGTTTACTCATATCAGGGAGTGTCAACAGTTGGAGGTTGTAGATACAGGCAAGCAATTCCAATAGGCCGTAAAGGAAGACTAGACATAGAAATAGATACCAACTTTGGGAAGGATTCCTTCCACGGGTATGAAATTGTCTTGTAATCTTGATTTGGTTATTGCAGATTGCAGCAACTTCTTTCCAATTGATTGTGCACGTACTAGGCTTGGCACTTATGTAATACAATGCTCAATTAATGGCCAATGACAATTCAAAGGGCTTTTGGATGTCACCATTGTTTTTGGGGTGTGTGTCTATCTTTTTGAGTCTTTGACACAGTTTAATGGTGAATGATTTTGTTTATTTTTTGACTTATAAAGTGTAATAGTTTATTAACTTTGTTACTTTGGATATTTGGTTAAAATATTCAAATCATAAAATTAAAGGAAATGAATCACAGCATATGTTGGATATTTGGGTTGAGTCACAAATTGTAAGGCCCAATTTTAGAAAAAAAAAAAAGCTAAGGGACTAAGGTTAAAATCGGTTAAAACCAAAACCGATGTCAACCGAAGAAATTAATTTAGTAACCGAATTAAATAACCGAAATATTGATCGGTTTGGTTTTCGATTGTTATTTTATAAAACAATCAACCGATTAAAACCGTCAATTCAGGTTCGGTTCCAACCAAACCGAACCGATGCCCACCCCTAGATAAAGGTGCAAAGTGCAAAAATAGAAATTTCTTCTGCCCAATGCAAGAGGACGGTTTTGTCTGTTTCTTCCTTCGCGGTAATCGAGGCGGAAAAGGAAGACAATTCGCCGTCATCTCTTCCTAACGACGTTAGTTTCCTCACCGCCGGTCATTTTTAGGTAAATAACCCCCCGTTCCTTTCGCACGTGCGGAAAAGCAATGAGTAAAAGGGTTGACGTAATCTGGTCACCCGTGTGTGGCTCCATCATGATCCGTACACGTGGACCTCGGGGTTCGTAACGGTCATCCATGAGATGTCAGGTCTGTTGGGTACGGGAAACGATGGCGATGAGGGGTAGAATGGGAAAAAAACAGTAATTCAACGGCAATGTGGAGAAGGAATCCAATGAGACGAGCAGTAAATCAAAAAAGGTCAGATTAGTTTCAAATTTTGCACTGGGCATTCTCAATTTTTTTTTATTAAAATGATATAATTATGAAGTAATATTATAATTTTATAATATAATATATTATTATATAAGTAATTTATTTTATCTAAAAAGTTAAATAT